ACCCGCCCTGCCACCCCCAGCCAGCTGCAGGCAGCCCCCCCTCCCCACACCTCTGGGCTCTGGGGTGGCTCCAGGCAGGAGCTGGCAGTGGCAGAGTGACGCTCGCCCTCCCCGCGCAGCCTCGGGGTGCCACACGCCCCGCTTGCCCCTCCACTTTCTGGTGGTTCAGGACACACCGACCCCAGGTCAGCAAACCCCTTTTGTGCCCGAGAGCCCCTGTAGTGCGGCAGGGAGAGGTGAAGCCCCGTCAGCTGGCGCAGACCCCCCCTTTGTTATAGACTTGAATCCGTCGTAAACTCCTCCGTGGAAAGCCTTTCGGTAGCTGCAGGGCTGAGTTGCTTCATGGCGTGTGACAGCGGTGTCTGGCTGTGACAGTGCTCAGGGCCCCTCTGTGCAGCTGCATTTCTCGTGAAGCTTCTTACCTGCCCGTCGGTGCTGCCGTCTGTCTGTCCCCCCCAGACGACTCCACCCCCCCACCCCTGGGTTATGACAAAGTCTGTAGCCCACAGTTCCCTTGGTTTGTTTGCTTTGGGTTTTGGTTTGGTTTTTGGTTTGTTTTGTTTTGTTTTTTTTCCTTTCTTTCTTTGAAGCCATCCTGTGCTGCTGCTTGTTTGCTCCATCCTCCAAGAGAGTCTGTCCACCCCGCACCGGCCCCTGCCCGCACTCAGGCTGGCCCTGAGCCCCAGCTGGGGTGGGAGCTGGTTTTGAGATGTTTAGGGGGTGGGATCCCTCTTTTCCCATCTTGGTTTCAGCCACATGAAAGAGGAGGAGAGTTTAAGTGCAGTGCAGGAGGGGTTTGGAGTGGAGGGCCCACGGGCTGGCCGTGGATGTCCCCAGCAGGAGGGAGGCAGGAGAGCCAGCCCGAGGTGGGATGGAGGGAGCACAGGGAATGCCAGGCAAGGGCTTGCAGGGGTGTATGCCTCCTCTCCTTTTCTCCCTACATTCCTGGTCCCAGAAGTTTCTGCTGTGGTTTCAGGGGGGCTGCCTGGCCTTGGTGAGGGTTGGCACTCCACCATCAGCCCCACTAGAGGAGGGGGGCTCAGGGCACGTCCTGGGGTTAGGTCAGAGTTGGCATCCTTGTCCTGGCAACTGTTCAGTGGAAGCAAACTGGGGGATCTCTGGCAGGAGAAGAGGCAGTGTGGGGGAGGTACAGGACCCCCATTCCAGGGGGGTGGGGCAGGACCAGGGCGCTGGGGGACCCTCAACTCCCCAACCCCTGTGGCCCCTCTGCACCCAGCGGTGCCGGGCCGTGTGTTGTCCCCACGTGTCACCGTCGGTGTCTGGCCTCCCGTGGTGTTCAGGAAGCACACGTTGCTCTGCCTTCTTGCCCCTCTCCTTTTTCTTTTGCTCGTGTTATGGCTGCAGCGCAGGAGCTCGTCTCTGATATTGCCGAACCATGGCTTGCTGACCTCTCTCTCTCTCTCTGTTTATGTCTGTGCCTTTCCCTGTATGTTCTGTAGAGGATGTAGCAAATTTAACAGCCAGTGATGTGATGAATCGGGTAAACCTGGGATATTTGCAAGGTAATTCCCTCTCCCTGGGAGTCCCGCGTGACTCATGGCGTGCAGCGTACAACAAGATCATGCCAGCTAAGCCCAAACCTCACCCTTGCCGGTTTTCACCTTAGATCCCCGAGCTTTTCAGCACTAATTTGTTGGGTGGCACTGGAAATCAAAGGACTGGCCTGTAGTGGTGGTGCAAACTCAGGGCTTCACTGAGTCGGGGAGATAGAAACCTCAGGGACCCTTTTCTAGTTGAGTTCCTACAGGGAAATCACAGCCCTCGCTGTCTCCAACAGAACCCTCCTTCCCCCGTGGCTCTGCAAGGTGGCTTTGGGCTGCAAAGCCAGTGGCAGTTTGAGGAGGGGACGAGCCCAGCAGAGCTGCCTGCGCATGTTGTGATGAGCTGCTGGAGCTCCTGCACCTTGGTGCCCGTGGGTCAGCCCCAGGGGCAAGGCACCACTTCCAAATCCCTTTGCACCCCTCGGTTTGCCCTCCTGGACCCCTCTCCAGCATTGGCAGACCCTGTTTTCTGACTGGGCTCAGCATGAGCTGCTCTGGGCACCTCGTTGGGGTCTGCAGGAGCTGAGGGGTTTTTGCAGCATTTTTGTCTTTACATCAGAGTGTGATGTACCCTGGAGAGGCCCCTTTTCCCTGAGCTTAGCAATAGTCCGACCCAGCTGTATTTTTGGCCTCACCAGGCCACGCTTAAGGTGAAACGTTGGCATTTTCCTGTGGAGTGTGTCCTTCATCAGAGAGGCAGCCCCAGCTGGGGCTCATGGAAGCCCCACTCCAGCAGAGTATATTGCCCTGGGAGCTGGGATGATAGAGCAATATACTTGGCGTGCTCAGAGTGCCTGGCTTGGCTGCATGGGGGGTCAGGAAAAGGTGCTTCCATGGAGCAGGGACACCTGCCGTGAGCCAGGGCCCTCCCCACCTCCCCTCATGTCAAACCCCGTGTCTGCCGTGGGGGTCCCGGGGTCTGTGTGCCCCCCCCTTTGCCCCAGCATTGCCACCCCTGTCCCTGCCTCGCTGTAAGGCTGAGCACTGGGATGGCCAAAGTTCCAGGGACTGGCCCACACCTGGGGCAGTGTTGGGGGACACCCCGGCACGGGTTGGGGGTCCCACACAGCATCTCCCCTGTGGTGGTCCTAGCCCTGCCCAGCTATGGCACCTTCTGCGGCCTCAGAGGTGCCAGGGATGTGTCTGAGGAGCAAAACAAGGGGCTGGTGTCCCCCTGCAAGCACTGCTGCGTGTGGTACCTGCAGGGGATGCCCCGGGGGGGTTCATCTGGACGTGTCCTGGCAAAGGCAGCTCAGGAGGAACATTCTTTGCACCCTGTGCTGGGTGTCTGCTGTGGCTCATCCCACAGCTGCAGAAAAACCCCACTTCAAAGGTTTCACCCCAGTGCTGGGGCTGAGGAGCAGCTGGGCCTCTCCTCCCGTGCCAGGGTGATGGGGCACCGCTGGCACTGCGGTGGCACAAGAGTCCAACTGTGCCCAGCATGGGGCAGGGCAGCCTTTGACAGGGGGATCCCCACCCCCAGGCAGGGGCACAGCAGGGATGGGGTGGTTGGAGCAGCAGGACAGGGAGCAGCCCCCCCCAGCCCGGGGTTAGTGCTTGATCCCAGATCCTGGTCCTGCTGCCCCCAAACTGAGCTCCCTTTGCTGGGATCATCAGACACCCGGTGTGCTCCAAGGCACTTAGAGGAGCCTTTCCAAAAGAGACATCCCAGTGACGAGCCTTGCAGTGAGCTGGTGTCCCGCCGTGCTCCTCACGCTGCCCCAGCGTCCATCTGTCTGTCTGTCTGTCCCCTCTCCATCCTGTCCATCCACACCCCATCAGCCCGTCTGGAAACCACCGTGTTCTCTGTGGCAGCTTCCCCCTCCATCCTGGCCGCCCGCAGCCTCGCACCCCCATCCATTCCACCATGATCTTGTTCTTGGCTATTTCGGGAAGCGCAGGGGCCCCTTCCTGGCATCGTGGATGGCCCTGGGTGCAGCTCTTGGTGGCCTCGAGCCCTCCCACCCCCCGGGAGGCCGCTGTGGTTTAGAGCCACCAACGGCTCTGAAACGCCACGGAGGCAATTTCCCTTGGGCAGGGGAAAGATGCAACCCTTGAATTAATCCTGTTGCTGGACTGATGCTAAATTGAGTCACTGAAGAAGGGGAGAGGTGGGCAGAGTGTTTGTTTGTGTGGCCCCGGGGGGGGGTTTTGGCTGCCCTGACGCAGAGGTTGGACTTGTGCTGTACCTCACACAGCAGGACTAACCTGTTCCCTCTTTTGCACTGCACCAAGGTAAGACTTCTCACTTTATTTTGGAGGGGGGAGTGGGGACTTGGAAGAGTTGCATCTGCCAGTCCCCTGGGCCGTGCCCTAGTGGGGGAGAGGCTGGGGAGGTGTGGAGGGAGGTGGCAGTGACGTTCTTGGTGCTCTCCCGCTGGCAATGCCATCGCCCACGGCTTTTCCCGGTGAAGGGACCCCTTTGCTGGGGGAGCAAGGACCAGGACAGTGTCTGTCAGCATGTCTGTTGGGGTGTCTGCCTGGGTGCCCCTCCCTCACCAGCCCTTTCCCCTCCTCTCGCAGATGAGATGAACGACCACCAGAACACCTTGTCCTACGTGCTGATCAATCCTCCCCCGGACACGCGGCTGGAGCTCAACGACATCGTGTAGGTGTTGCCCCTGCCCTCCTGTGGGCTCCCTGTGCCCCCACACAAACCACAGTGCCCTGGGGTGACCCCCACTGTGTTGGGATTATCATGCTTTCCCTAATTTCTCATAAATACCTGCAGCTTTTGGCTCCTTCCCACTGCCCAAACCGCTCAAGCCCCAGCTTTGCTCTGATGGGCAATGTGGAGCTTTTCCCTTTGGCTTTTGCCACCGTGCACCTCCAGGAGGAACAACTCCTGCTTACTTCTTATATTATTTCATGGCATCTATTTTAACAGCTATTATTATTTAACACCTATTATTTTAACAGCTCCCAGCATGACACAGTGGGGCTCAGGGCTGGGCCAGACCCCAATTCTGGGGTCACACAGCTCCCTCCTGGTCCTGGGGAGCCAGGGGGGGGTCCCAGAGGTGTAACCCAACTGTGCCCTGCAGGTACCTGATCCGCTCCGACCCGCTGGCCCACGTGGCCAACGACGGCCACAGCCGCAAGAGCAGCTGCAGCAACAAGCTGGGCTCCAGCAACCCCGAGACGCGCGACGAGACCCAGCTGTGAGCGGCCCCCCCGCGCCCAGAGCCCCTGCCAGGGCCACGGGGTGCCGGAGAAGAGGACGGGGCAGCCGGGGGGGCCGGAGGATGGCCATGCCCAGCCTGGCTCTGCGCTGTGGGAGGGACGCCCGGAGCCCTGGGAGGGGCAGGACAGCCGGACAGACCCAGGGCTGGACTGACCCAGGGCCGGACAGACCCACGGCCGGACAGACCCACGGCCGGACAGACCCCCCAGCCGGCGGCAGCGCCCCGTGGATTTTAACTTTTTATACCGATACCGCAACTCGTGAGCGAGTCCGCGCTGGGGCCGGCGGGACGGGGCTGAGCCCCCCCCCAACAGGGGCAGGGCTGGGTTTGGTGTCGCCCCACAAGGTGCAGGTTGGTTGCGTTGGGTGGGGCCGGTCAACCTGAGAGCGAAACTGCCCCCAAAACCCTCCTCCCTGGGTCCCCAAACTTCTGCTCTGTCACCCGCCCTCCGTTGGGTTTCTGTGCCGGGCGCCGGGAAGGACTGGCGGGTGCCGCGGTGGGATGGGTGGGACGGGGTGGTGCAGCCCCCACAGGTGCCATGGCAGGGGCTGCCCTGCCCTCCGGCACTTTGGGGCGTCTCACAAACCAAACCAGGCCGAGCCCAGGTGACCAAAGCCGTGGTGTCCCCACGGCAGTGCCTCCTGGCACACGTGCCCCGCCTGAGCCCCAACTGCGGGCACGGTGCCCCCGGGTTTGTGCCCCCTGTTGCTGCTGCTGCTGCTGCTGCCGGGGGGATTCGGGGATGCTCGTCCTGGGGGTGGGATGGGGCACAGTGGCCAGGCCCACACACGGTTGGCTGGGATGGTTTGATGTCTCAGCTCAGCCCTTTCCCCTCCATCCAGGAGCAGTTTGGGCTCCAACCCCCTCCCCACCTCCCCGTCCCCCAATTTGTCCCGGTCGCGGCTTTTCGTCCTTCCCCTCCCCACGGTCGTGGCTCAGCGACACCGTTAAGGCAGCGGGTTCTGCCTGTCCCCCCCACCCACCATGACCCCCCCAGCAGCTCCAGCCATCCC